GTGTAAAATCTGACAAATATTTTTTTCTTCAGTAATAAACTTTGACATGTCATGAATATTTAATGTTAGGGGGAAGTTTAAATCATGTTTTCATACACTAACGTGTGTCTAATAGGTAAAGGTAGATATTGTTGGCTGCTTTTTAAGACATTTACTGCTTTAGATTCAAATATCTGTTTGTTAATTGTGATAAATTAACTCAAAGCTAATTTGACTGTCATGAAATTAATGAAAATCAATGACAAAATGTGCTTGTACACATTTTAAACTAAATAAGCAGAACATCAGTTTGGCTAAAAGCTTTCTTGGTTGTCGTAGATGCAACAACTCATAAAGCGATTCACAAACGTCCTTTAACGATCAAGATTGATAATAATAAGAGAACAAATACTCTGTCTGCAGTCATCAGTGCAGATTATACATCAACTCCATATTCTGGGTCATTTGTCAAACAGAAAATCGAATTCAGGATTGGAAATTTGTCAAATCTGAACAACAAACCAAAATAGGTACAGGTAAATGTGTTGGCACAGATCAATGAGTCACAGCCTGAGAATCAGCTGCTCAATAAATCAAACATCTGTCCTCAGTAATCCTTAAAAAGCACCAGATTGTCTCTGTTGTATAAACAGCCAAGCAATTATGAAAGATGCATATCTAAATGTGTTTTCAAATCTGCTCTCCTTTCTATTCATGCCTCCATTCCATTCCTTCTTTCTAATATCCTTCTATAATGTCAACTCCTCCGCTTACCTGCAGTCCCAGCCTCACTCTTTTGGTGACGGCCGTGTCAGGGAAGATGGCCTCGACGTGAGGCACCAGCTTACTGGTCAGCCGGCCGCCCTCCGGTCCGATCAGGTCGCTCTCCTGCTGGATGCGGGAGACCACGGCGAAGTAGAGTGGGAAGTCGGTGGAGATGATGCGACGGATTCTCTTCTTCTCCAGCTCGTCTTGACTCTCCAAGTCTTCAGATGGTTTGAAGTGAGGAGGAAAGAGAAAGAAAAAAAAACCACACCTCCTTAAATTACACATATCCTGTGTCCTTGTTCTGCAACTGCAGGGTCATACATCAAGACGAAAACCTGCAGACTGCATGTCTCACAGAGGGTGGAATCCATTATCGTCAAACTGACCTTCATCCATGCCGTTCAGAATGGTTTCCAACACTTCATCACCATAGCGATTGCGATGCTCCTTCCAGACGGAGCCGTTCTCGCTGCGGAGGACTACGAGCTCTCGGTCCCCTCGGCCCAGGGAGGCAAAGTGTGGGATCTCCACGATTACAGGCCTGTGGAAGAACCAACAACTTAGTTCAAAATAGGAAAATAAATGACTTATAAAATAAAGTGATATTAAAATTGATCTGTAGCCTTGTTTTAGTTAAATAAT